CAGGCTCCCTGCTGAGCAGGGAGTCTGCTTCTCCCTCTGACCCTCCCCCCTCTCATGTGCTCTCTCTCTCTCATTCTCTCTCTCAAATAAATAAATAAATAAAATCTTTAAAAAAAAAAATGGGAAGTGAACCTGAACAGACATTTATCCAAAGAAGATATACATTCCAACAGACAGGTGAAAAGACACTCAACATCACTAATCACCAGGGAAATGCATATCAAAACCAAAATGAGATATCACCTCATATGTCAGCATTACTAGTATCAAAAAGACAAGAAATAACAAGTGTTGGTGAGGATAAAGAGAAAAAGGAACAGTCAATGCACTATTGGTGGGAATGTAAAGTGGTGCAGCCACTATGGAAAACAGCATGGAGGTTCCTCAAAAAATTAAAAATAGAAATACCATATGATTCAGTAATTCCATTGCTGAGTATTTACCCCAAGAAAATCAAAACACTAACTCAAAAAGGTATATAGATCCCTATGTTTATTTCAGCATTATTTGCAACAGCCAAGATATAGAAGCAGCCCAAGCATTCATCAGTTGATGAACGGATAAAGAAGATGTGGTATATATCTACAACAAAGTACTACAAAGCCATAAAAAAAAAAAAGAAATCTTGCCATTTGCGATGATGTGAATGGAGTTAGAGAGTATTGTGCTAAGCAAAATAAGTCAGTCAGAGAAAGACAAATACCATGTGATTTCACTCACATGTGGAATTTAAGAAACAAAATAAATGAATATTGGAAGGGGGAGAAAGGAAAACCAAGAAACAGACTCTTAATATTGGAGAATAAACATGGTTATGGGAGAGGAGGTGGGTGGGGGATGGGTTAAACAGGTGATGGGGATAAAGGAGGGCACTTGTTGTATGCAAGTGATGAATTACTAAATTCTACCCCTGTCACTAAAATCGCACTGTATATTAACTAACTGGAACTTAAATAAAATTGGAAAGAAAAAAAAAGAAGTCAGACAGACAAAGACAAATACCATATGATTTCACTTATTTGTGAAATCTAAAAAACAAAACAAAAAAACAAAAACAGACATAAATACAGAGAACAAACTGGTGATTGCTGGAATAGGGCAGGAGAATAGGTGAAATAGGTGAAGGGAAATAAGAGGTACAAACTTCCAGCTATAAAGTGAATAAGTCATGGGGATGAAAAGTACAGCATAGGGAATATAGCCAATAGTATTGTAATAGCATCATATGATGACGGATGGTAACTACACTTATCATAATGAGCACTGAGTAATGTACAAAACTGTTGATTCACTATGGCATACACCTAAAACGAACATAACATTGTATGTCAACTATATATCAAGAAAGGAATAATGAAATTTCAAAAATAAATGAATTATTTTAAAAATGTTTATGGCATCATTTTATTGGTTAGACCTAAATAAAACACAAGTACATACCAGACGGGATTTCTTAAGTACACAATGGAATGTCATCTGCATGCACAGTGCTGCTGTGCTGACAGCAACTAGATAATAAAATCAACAATGTGGTTTTACAACTACACAGCCATGCTTTAATGTACTGTATTAGATGGGTTTCTCAATATTTCACAAAGACATTGCTTTAGCTTCATGTAACTTAGTATCCTTTTATCTTATACTGTGCTAAGGCAATGGGAATAATTCTCTTAGTAGGCTTAAGTTATTATAACAACATATTACATGATGTTTGAATAAGGGACAGGCAGGGACTAGGTAGGGAGAAATAGGTATGGGGCTATGGGATCAGGCTTACAAAAATCCCCAAAATGTGGATGTGTAAGGAAACCAGAGATAAGGAAACAAACCAGACCATCCTGTCCTAGGTGTCGGAGGTGGGGTCTTGTTATAACAGCTACTTGTGACCAACAGAGAATTACTGGACCTTAAAAAGGAAGTAAATCATTGAAGGTGTTATCACTAGTCCTTACTCCAAGGTGCTATCAATACAGATGTTAAAATGATTTAAGTTCCCTGGTTAGCTTTCTATAAAAGACCAACCTTAAAAGCCCTCAGTGGCAGCCCTCTCGGGACCCCTCTCACTCCTGAGAGCTTTTTCTGTACCTTCACTTAATAAAATTCTATCGATTTACTCACTCTCCTTTGTCTGTGAGATTCATTCTTCAACTCCATGAGACAACAACCTCATGTTCTTTGGTTAAAATCCACTCCAAAATGTATCCTTTTTCTTGAGCTAAAGTGTCAATCCAAAATGAGATTGCAATAAACTATACAAAAATAATATTAAACTGGGAAACACTATGCTAAATATGGAAACTAAGATTCTTTAGTTTCACAATAGCTGACAAATGACTTTTACATTCCTTTTTCTCTGTTTTAATTAACAAAGTATAAGCACACAATTTATGTAAATTATTACCTCAATGTAAATGTATATCAATAGTATTGTTTCTTCAAAAAAATTATACTATTATCTGGAATTCTTAGGAATATGTATCATTTTATATGTGGCTGAAATACTTTCTCTGTTGAGTACTTTTATATATGATGGAACTATTTTTCCTAGAAACATTCATTGTTTGCTGGTAGCAATTTTTAAGATGCATATTAAAAAAAAAAAAACAGTATCTGGAAAAGCAAAGTATTATGCCTTTAAACTTTTGCCTTACTGAATTTAAAATGTTTGTGAATTTCCATGTAGTTGACTTACCATTTTTAGAAATGGTATAAGTGTTCTGTCCCAAATAGAAGTAATAATTTTATTCTTAGCTCTTTGAAACAGAGGTAAGTATTGAAGGAAAATCTCACTAAGGCAGTACATTCTGCAAAGATCTGCTGCTTCATTTAGTGTTGGTGATTCCTCGAGTCCTAGAAAAACATGAATTTAGAAAGTATCAACCTACAGATAGACAATGTAAAAATTCAGATATGCAATAACAGTATCTTAAATTATCTTATCCATAGCTTTCCCATATGATAGATTTATTTTTTCAGAATCATTTTAAGAAAAAATTTAATAAGCATATAATTTATTTTTCTAAGCAGTATAACTAGTCATTTTGCCTGAGTGAAGATTTTTTAAAATAAATAGAGCCTAGCATTCACTGTATCTAATACTTGCATTTTTTTAAATTAATTAATTTATTTATTTGACAGAGAGAGACACAGTGAGAGAAGGAACACAAGCAGGGGGAGTGGGAGAGGGAGAAGCGGGCTTCCCGCTGAGCAGGGAGCCCGATGTGGGGCTCCATCCCAGGACCCTGGGATCATGACTGGGCCAAAGGCAGATGCCTAATGACTGGCCACCCAGGTGCCCCTAATACTTGGCATTTTTTAAAATGGTGGAGGATGGTCACCCATTAGAGGTATGTCTACTATGTATTTATTTACAATCTCAAAGCAGCAATACAAGAAAAGTGATAAGCTTCATATTGTCATACATGTTCCTATGTGGAAGACCAGGGCTGAGTAGGAGATAAGATCTCTATACCAGCAGAAACAAACAAAAAAAACTTGGGTTTGTATCCCAACTCTGCCCGTCAATTAGCTGTTTCACTCTTATTCACCTATAAAGCAGGATAACAAGAATATCTAATGTGCCAAATGGCTGTAAAAATTAATGATAATGTGAATAATGAACCTGGTATGAGCATATAATAAAGACTCAATAAAAGTTAACTGCTATTAATAGTAATATCACCATTATTATTGGTCTTCCTAACAGAAAATGTGCCTTCTAAGCAACAGAGTAGATGGCTAGATATCTTGATCACCACCATAATCATTGCCACCAGTAACACCTTTCCTAAGAGCTTTTATAAAAGCTAAATCTCCTGTGTGATATTACCACCTATGCCTTGAAATTGGCCTATGAAATTTTAGCAGCAGTGAGGATCAGCCGAGTCAAGAATAAATAGATATTTATTCTTTGGTCAGGGAAGAAAGAGGTGACAAGCTCACCATAAGGAAAAAAAATCTTAACTTGTTTTGAAAAGAGCCCTATATGCTTTCTTAAAAATATGATCAATACACTTATACCAATGTTTATTAAGCAAACACATAACAAACACATATTTTCTGTTTGATGATGTGTTTACACCTTTGGCTACTACTCATAAGCACTGTCACATCTTTAAAAGTAAAATTAAATATTAATTTTTGAAGGAATCTCACCTGTGTGTTATGATTTTTGGTGCATGTATTTAGGCTTTCACAGTCTTGTGCATCATGTAACTTTTTTTACAGAGTTTTAGTATCACAGAGCCTGAAACAGAGCAAAGGACACTTCAGCTGTCAGCTCCTTCCAGCCACAGATTCTGAAGCAAGGACAAGGTTTGATGCACCTACAATAAAATTTGTTTTTAAAGCCTAGTGATTACAAGAGACAATATTCAAAGCCTAGGTGATATTTAACCCTAGAAAAAGGAGTTTCTTTTTTTTTCCATTAATAATATCAATATTAAAATTTAATCTTTAAAAAAATTAAAGAAAAAGTATCAAAGAAATGCCTAAGAAGTGAAAAGAACAGTTGGAATATGTCTAATGGAAAATGAGAATGCACTGTATCTCACTAGGTTCTAAGCACCATTTTAATATTAACAACTATTTCTCCTCTGGATCTGTATACTTACTAATAAGTCTACATAAGCCATGACTAATTTGCAAGTCTCTGAATGATTAATCTGTAAATTCCTTAGTGCTGTCAGGTCAGACATTTTTCAGTGGCCACAAATGAGATAAATACTGTGTATTTATCTGATGTTCAACAGCTATCTTCTCATAGGTTAGTAATTATGAACTACTACTACTAAACAATATTATCACTACAATGTCTGTATTTGGGAAAGGTTGGAAAAGTGCAAAAAATTGAAAAGTTCAGCAAGATAAATAAATAAGAGCAGGAGGTAGCTATACAGACTTAAGAAATCTTGCTCTGTCTTTGGCAGGGTATCACGGTCTCAAAAAACTTAGCTTCTCCTAAAAACTTACAATGTTAATTAGACAAGTCACTGAACCTCATTCATTCATTTCAAGATGTTTGTTTAGTGTCTACATATTATGTAGGGTTTATAGGAATTTTATTCTAAGATTGATTAACACACTTCCACAGAGTTATGAGTACAGTGATAACATGACATCATATTTATATTTTTAAAAGATCACTCTGATTACTGTTTAGAAAGTAAATCATATGAGATCAAGAACAGAAGGAGAAATATAAGTAGGTTAATGTATGCTAGCCCACTGCATTTGTCCATGGAAGAGATGATAGTCTTAAATTAATGTCATAGTGATGGAGATGGTGAGAAATTGGTGAATAGTGACAGGATGACTGGTGAATGACATGTGGGGTATAAAGAAAAGAGTGAAGTCAAGGACACCTCCCAGGTTTTTGTCCTAAACAACTATAAGAAGAGAGATGCCATTAACTGACATGGGGAATACTCCAATGGAGTGGGTTTGGGGTAAGGATCTGTTTAAGCCATGTTAAGTTTGCAGTGCCTATTAAAAATTAATGTGGAGATGCCTAATAAGTTGCTAGATACAGGAGAAACTAAATATCTTGTTTGTAAGCATATTTAATCCAGAGTCATAGGACCCTGATTACATCATCACATCATATCTACTCCTCCAAAAAGAATGATCTGTTGAAGGGAAAACAATGTCAGATGATGTGTTTCAAGAAACCAAAAGGGTAGAATAACATTGACTTAGGTCATATTCTTCATGAGAGATTACCAAAGAATCAATTACTTAGCTTCCATTGATTAGCTCTATAGATATCTTTCCTCTCCAAAATACTGAAAAATTCTTATCTTCTTAGAATAAAATTCCTCAGTGGTCCTTCGTATATTTTAAAAATAAAAATTTGATATCTTAAAATTAACACAGTAATTATCTTCAATTTTGTGTATATTTTATACAAAGTTGGGTTTTTGTTTTGTTTTGTTTTTTTCTTTTTAGAAAATGACTAGGGTTCGGGCTCCTGGCTCAGTGGGGAGCCTGCTTCTCCCTCTGCCTCTCCCCCTGCTCATGCTCTCTCTCTCTCTCAAATGAATAAATAAAATTTAAAAAAAAAAAGAAAAGAAAATGACTAGGGTTTTGTAATCAATAAATTTAGCAAGGCTCTTCCTGCTTCAGTGCTATGCATCTTGATGGAGAATACATCCTAAAGATGTAAGTCTATATAATCAGTAAGAACATGGATGCTGTGAAAGGAAATGTTTGTCTTCCAGAAGCAACAAATCATTAAAACTATATTTCCTAGATGCTGAACTTTAGTTTCCAAATAAATGTGTTATTACCTTTCTGCATGTCTCCCAAGTTTAGTTTCAAATAACCATATTTCTGTTTCCTGTGACTTCTGGTAATCAATTATGTAGGCAGGCAAGGCATGCCGTAAATGTTTTTCATTCTAAAAAACAAAACACACAAGTAAATATTCTGGATCAAATAAAAATGCATATTACAAACCTCTAATGAAATGAAATACAAGGTGGAAAATAATGTTCATGATCATTCAGCTACAGAAAAAAAATCAGTTCAAGAGAAATAAATTTTCACTCTTTTGGCTTGGACTGTTCATTGTTGGGTTATTCGAATATAAGAAGAAAATTTTAAATGCATTTATTTCTAATAAACCAGCCATTAAGAAATTACTGGTCTTAGTAGTAGTATAATTGGTTTGTATTTCCCCACACTGGTCTCTTATTAAGAGAAAGAAAGGGGCGCCTGGGTGGCTGAGTCATTAAGCATGCTCCCTGCTCAGCAGGAAGCCTGCTTCTCTCTCTCCCACTCCCCCTGCTTGTGTTCCCTCTCTCGCTGTGTCTCTCTCTGTCAAATAAACAAATAAAA